AAGGATGAACAGCTAAACAAAGCCGCACTGGATTTGATGAACGCCGCCAAGGCTGAGGCGAAAGACCGGAATTTGTACACCGAGTTCATCTACCTCAACTATGCTGGACCGTACCAGAACGTAATTCCGAGCTACGGAGACGAGAAGCTAGCAAAGCTCAAGTCGATTGCGAAGAAGTACGATCCCGCTGCTGTCTTTCAAAAGCTGCAGCCTGGTGGGTTCAAGCTTGAGGGTGCGCCCTACGGGGAGACTATATAGACGTTGACTTGTCTTGTATAGATTCATTCAAGCTGCCAAACCTTCAGATTCTGATGCTGACATTACCTTTACTCTACGCTAAGATACATCAAAAAAGCAATACACCTGGTGCCTACGAATAAGTCTTTGGATTGAAGAATAATGCGATATATTCGATAGAACGTACACTCGTAATATGCGCCCAATAAGAACGGCCTTTCGTCTGTGTATCACATTCGCGCTTAGCTGCGACCCATCGCTGTGCTGAGCTATCAATTCTGAACCATCCCAGCTCGTTATCATCTGCCAAAATGGGCTATCGTCCATAGCCAGGCAGCTCTTGAGGTCTAATTGGAACACCAGGCAATTCCACAGGCCTTTGCGGGACCGGAGCCTCGTGCAGGAAACTATCCTGGGTAGGAGCTTCGTGCCTATACTCTGATGACAATTCTCCTTTGACTGGTTCGTAGTAGGTTGTCGTCTCTGTGGTTTCCTTTTTCTTCTTATATGACCGTCTTCCAATCAAAGCACCCAGAGCAAGCAGCGCGATAACACCAAAAGCAGCACCCACACCAATTCCGGCTTTCGCGCCTGTCGATAGGCCACCACTGTCGTCATTCGGTGGTATTGTAGTGGGCGATGGGGTTGGAGTGCTCGAGGAACTGGACGAGCTCAATGGAATCGAAGTGCTAGTAGACGACGCGATCGAAGACATCGAAGAACTCGAGATTATGCCCAGGAACACACGATCGACTTTTTCCTTTCCGAAACTAGCATCGTCACCACAGCAAGCGGTTGAGTTGCCACAGCACCAGTACTCAGACGAATCGGTACCATCACAGGGAGTGACATTCACGTCTCCACTTCTTTGATTTGGCTGTGTGTCGATGTAAGCTTTCATAAAGTCAAGGTGTAGGGCGCGATCGTACTGTATTCGTACATAGTTCCTGGCAGCCTCCGGCCTCCCAGTCCGACAATGTACAGGACTCTCTAAAATAGATGAAGTCATTGTCTCCAGTGCTAGCCCTGCAGAGGCCGTTCGGAAGACATGTATCCCAGCCTCCCTCGTTATTGACCACGTTGATGTTGCAACAGATGTGGCTGAGTGGGTCTGAAGTGTCGTTGGAGCAGGGCTGGTACTGGGGATTTGGCTGCCCACCGTCGCGCCAGTAACAGGATTGCGCATAAGCTACTGTAATGAAGGAAGAAAAAAAGAGGGGTTTTGAAAGCATCATGTACAAAGGTTGAGATCAGATGGATCTGCAAGGCGGAGGAGCAGACGTATGGCCATGCTTGTGCGAAGGGGGACCGAGGTTAGTTAAAACATAGGATCACTGCTGGCAAGTGCTTCTATTCTTATTAGGGTGGTTGGTGGAGGATCTTTGGGGCCAGGGGCCAGGCGTTTATCTCATCTTAGACCCTGTCGTGGCTGTGTAACGCGTGCGGTGAGTGGTTGCCAAGCGATAGGGCAAAACCTTGGCAATTTGGGGGCGGAAACCCGCGTTGGCGGCTCAAAAAAAATCGATCTTTTGAACAAAAACATACAACAGCGCCCACCCAACTACTGATCCGCCGGTACACTGCTTGTATATGGCTGAGCGGACGGAAAGCCTAATTCTCAGTCCCATGGTCGTATGTGAAGGAACAGAAATCTCCATGGGTTATATCGTGACCAGAACCTCATGTAACCGAAGCAGGATCAATGCGGTGATGACAGGGATAGATGGCTCTAATCCGACAAGAACAACAGAATATAGAAACAAACATAGTAAACGAAAGTGCAGGAATCGAAGTCCACATTAATACACCCCAAGCGATCCTCTCCAACAATGGCCTTCTGATAACCTCCTACCAAAATGTCAGTTTATCCGCCACCCAATCCGTTACCGCAAAGAAAACATTGTGGCGGTGGAAGAAACTCCGGTTCTTCTTGCCGAGGATATCTATAAAAGCACGGATTAGCCAATGCCTTCATCTCACCTTCTCACTAAGACTTACACATCGGAATCGTCAACGCACAAACAGCGACCTGCGCACTCCCGACGGCGATAAACAGGGTCTTGATTCCCCCACCACCACCTACCCCACTCCGCCGTCCAGCTTCAACAACCCAGTCGAAGCCTTTAAACGTCAGGGCGAAGGAGAACACGTTCTTGAAAACGAGGAGGCACGTGAAAGCTTCGATGGACATGCCGCCTATATTCGTCAGTATCTCAAAGCATGGAGTGGTCTCGGAGACTTACGATGCGCATCGACAATGTATAGCGCACTGGCGACAGCACCACACACCATACCCATAACTACGAGCGCGAAGAAGAAATCAGGCCAAAACCAGCCGTACGTTGCCGTATCTGCGCTGGTCCAACCAAAGCCGTAGATACCAGCACAACCTAATATGAGTTGTGGGACCACGAGCACCATGCGGAACTCGGGTTCGTAGACGCCGTTATTGAGGCGCGTGAGCAGGTTGGCGGACCAGTCGCTAATCAGACCGGTGAGGGCGAAGCCGAGGAGTGCACCGATGAAGGCGCCTGTATACCTTGATGGGATTAGGACATGTAGGTGAAGATATGAACGGAACGTATCAACTTACATGTATCCTGTCTCCTTCTCTCCAAACCAAAGCGGTGGGCCAAGCATAATTGCTGCAAGCACAACACCGATAAGGACCGTGAAACCGATTAGACTGCCTTGGATGAGACAGGCCCATAGTATACCCGGATGCAAGAACAGCGAGAACGGCCGCAGAAGGAGGTGCAGAAACCGCTCATCTGTTTTCCGCCCATTGAACGGCTTCATACTTTCGAGGAAAGTAGCCTTGCGTGGCGAATCGCCCACCGAATGCTGGTCCGCAGAGTTTCCTGCTCCCTTTTCATCCGTGTTTCCAGCTGCTTCGTGTTCAGCAGATGTACTACTCGACCCCCGATTACCCAGGATTTTCATCTCTTCTCCATCCTTAACCAGCAAGTTACCCATAGTGTCGGTGTCAAATTTCTCTTCCCTCCTGAACGCCGTTTCCGGGCAGAAGAGTATGATCAGCGGTAGCATGATCCCCGCGAATATGGCGACAAAATAGAATGTCCACTGATATCCGATTGAATCTGCAATCACTCCTACCAAGACTGGCGTAAGGAACGCGCCTCCGAAGACGGCGAAGTTTGACAACGCCATGCGAACTCCGCGCTCGTGGACGTGATACATATCGCCAACACTGGCTTTAAATCGAGATACAAAGTTAGTGTATGCTTCAAGTAAAATTCAAAGATATCCATGCTTGAACTCACCATTGACGAGCGCTTCGAATGGCGCTAGGCCCACGCCTTGAAATATCCTCGCCCATAAAAATCCAGCATAATTGTTTCCTATCGCGCCACCCCACGCACAACTCACCACGACTATCACAGTTCCTAGAATGTACACATGTCGTTTCCCCCAGATACGCGCTGACGGCACGAAAAAAAAACCTGCGACTCCGACACCCAAGAGGTGGTAGCCGGTCAACAGAGCCATGTCGGTTAGGTTGTGACCAAAGTAAATGGCGAGAGAGACAGTATTGGCGGCAAGAATGGGAGAGAGGGTGCTTGCGATGACTGATATGGAGGATAGAAGAAGGAGAATGGTGTCGCGACGACGAAGCGACCAGTTCTGGAGTATCAGTCAACTATGTGCACTTGCCTAGATTTTGTGCCAGAATGGGACGTTTGAAAGACGTACAAGCGGATCATTCGGATCATCACTCGGCTGCGGAACAAGCAGTATTGTCCCAGTTTTGTCGTACTTCAAGCCTGACCTCCCTATGATAGTTCCTGCATTTCTTTCGATTTCCCTCCGCTGCTCGCCTTCCAATACCTGCGCGGTCCCAGGGACCTGTTCGAGCGCATGGTCAGAGAGGATGCCGAGACCCATTGTCGCACGACCTTATGAGTGCTGAGTGCGGTAGAGCGTCGCAATAGCTACGTGGAATGCATGCGCAAAAAAAAATGTAAGGGAAAAACGGAGTAGGCTGGAAGTGAGGACTGATGATGAAGGCTGACAGTGATGGATGCCGGGGATGTTGAAGGGTCGACGATCTGGGGTGTGGAGATCGTCCAATGGGCCGCGGGAGCTGAACATGCTTCGGTGGAAGGTAGCTAATGGCAAATAGTAGCGGCCGAGCGCGTCCCGACTAGGGGCCGACAAGGCTTCAACTTCGAATGTTCAAGAATAAGCCGCACGGGCACGGGATTAGGCGGATCAGCTGGATTATCCCGCAGCACGTCGTGCAGTCGCAAACAAAAGATGGAGTCAGTCAATGTGTGCGTCTGGAAGATTGTAATCATTACCATCGCGTTCTCAAGTAAGAGAGTTGCGGTGGTTTCACGCCAAACAAGCCGTACAGGCTTTCCAGCCTGGTATCATCGATGTATGTAGTTTCATAGCACCTCCCTTTGAGGGGATACATCAATTAAATGTCTCCAAAGAGGATGCATTCACAGTCACTTGTTATTACAGTTTAGCACTAATGCTCCAGATCTACTAACAGTTGTAAATGCCGAAATAGATTATGATATTAAACAAAGAAGTTTCCAAACTGTGGAAATACACTACAAATAAACCAGGCCATGTCTTCGGTGTGGACAATCGATGTTTGCAAGAAGGTTTTCTTGAGGCGCAAGTCGGGAAGTTGTCTGGTACACGACGCGTCAGGTGCATGGCTGGGGCTGCCGTTCGAACAACGGGCGCTGGGTAAGTGTCCAACAGCGTACAGTGATAACAGTGTTCTCCTACAAAGCAGCGAGCAGTCCGACCATGGCAAGTCCAAGACCGACTCCCGCGCCTGCAGTCTGGATGGGCGCTGCTCCAGTGTTGCCAGCCGCTGATGCTGAAGTGGCGGAGGCGCTTCCTGAAGGGGTCATGGAGGCGGTGCCAGACACTTGTGTGACAGAGGAGTTGCCGGCAGAAGGGGTCGCGCTGCCAGACGGGGCCGCGCTACCAGACGGTGTTGCGCTGCCAGATGCTGTCGCGCTGCCAGACGGGCATGAGGGTTGGGTGTTGACGTCGATGTTCTGAAGTTTGCAAATCTCGACACCGAACTGAGTGGTCGCTGTGATAGTCGTTAGCTGGCACGGGACGCGAAATGGCAAGCGACATACCAGCGATATCCGACTGTGAGCAAGTAGCGAACACACAGCAAGACACAGCGTCGATAATCTTGCTCTCGCAAATGCATGCAATGTCAGTAGCACCGCAGCTGCCTAAGTTGCCACCGAAGCAGGCTTGCTGCGTTTTCGTTAGCTTTCGTTCGCCGGTAGTTATGGTCAATAACTCACAGCACATTGCGGGATCTGGTCAAGAAGACCTTGGGCCAGAGCTGTAGAGCTCAATGCAGCGGCAGCGGCGATAATGGAGAAACGCATGTTGGCAAAGTTTGGTTACTTGAAAGCGACTGTGAAGTGTGATTAACGACGAGGTTTGCTTTAGACCCGTGATACGCGACGGAATCCGCGAGGGGAAGCATGGTTTTGAAGTATCCGCCGGCCTGTGGCAGCGCCCTGAGAGAGACCTAGACCTACGATGGCTGCCAATTTACAGCTGAAGCATGCTTGGTCCCTACCTGATTGGCGGTTCGTTCCACCATTTGACTTCCCGATTGGCAGACTTCTCCACAGACAAGCCGATCCACATGCTTGATCCCAAATCCGGCGCGCACGTCCCTGTTTTAGATCCGTGTTGGGCTAAGGTCGGAAGTAAGCCGGGGATCGGCTCAATTGCTGGAGAGACTGCTGATTGGTACTGGCGTACCAGCCCGACTCAAGACCACCTGGGCAGGCACTAATCTGAACCAAAGGCGCACTCCATTGTCGCGAAAGCGACCGCCGTGTTCTGTTCATACCCGAGCACGGCCCGAATAAACCCAAGTAAACCCAAGTTGATACCAGCACGTCGTCAGGTGTGAGACGGTGCAGGAAGCTGACGTTGGGGTCGTTGATCAGTTTAGGGCAACAAACTCAATCACCCTCGTCAAACAACATGAATGCCGAGCATTATATAACTTTGGGCGAGTATTGTACCACGTAGGTTGCCGCACGCCACCTAATGCGGACTGCGAACGCGAAAACTTAAACACGGTAAGGGCATTACCGGAAGCCCACAAGTTAACACTTCGTGAGCAAACTTTGGAAGTGATAGGACAGAGCGTTCGCCGCAGGAGCTTTGATCACCGACAGCCTCCCCTACGATAGTTGCCTCCAAGACTTCGACCACCGGCGCCTTAGCAGATAGATAATGGCAAGTGCAATGCAGCTCATTCTAAATGTCGCCAAAGACCTCAACAGTAAGATTATAGACTCTTGATGCTATCAAAACCGGCCTGGGCGAGGCTTAGGGGCCGGAGTTTTCGGAGAAAAACACAGAAGACGGTCGTGATTAAGATTGCGATTAGCGCAAATGGCTTAGGGCGAGCGATTGTTGTTAGGAAACCTCACAGGGTGATGTCCGTTATGCCGAAGCTGATGACTTCTGGCATTCTGGAAAGGTTTATGTTGGTAAGCCGTGCGGATCTTCATCGCGCGCTTCAGAGTGTTCCAGCGGTAAGGAGTAAGCGACGGTGGGCGAGAGGGTGGGCGCCAGCAGGTGACGGTACCTAGGTAGCCAACAACATATCGGAGGTCGGCATCTCGTAAAGTGCGCAGACCATACTGTTTCTTCATCTTGGTGTTGGTTCCACGAGGAGAGAGCAAATCGGTCTAGTTCGAGTTTAGCTGGTTGAGGGGTGGTTACCGAAGGCAGGAATGTGCACGGTCGTGTTCTCGAAAATATGAATTTGAATCGAAATCATGCCATTCTGAACACGAAGCTGTCAATCAGCAATGCTATGAGCCTTCAGCGCCAAGATGTAGAGTAGTTTACACATTCTCAAATGGAACAAGTGGACTCCACTACAGCTTCGAGCTTGTGTTGGAGATCCGGGGTTGCTAGTTCAAGGTGAGCTAAAAACCGGAGCTATCCTCGGACCCTTTTATTCACGAACGTCATTTTCTTATCGCTTGCTGAGACCCTTCTAAACCCTTCTTTCATCCACAACGCGCAATTATCGACTGTTCAGCATTTTCATCATGCCCTTGTTCTTCGCGAGATCTTTGGGCTGGAAGCGAAACGTCTTCTGAGTATGGGTGTGTGGCCTGTTCAGTCGGGTCTGCGCGCGTAGACACCGCGCGTAGACATATCGTCAAGAAGGAAAAGTTCATCGCAACAAGTCGCGTTGTTATGCGATTGAAGAGTTGGAAGGAACAATGGCACACCTGCGATCATACTGAGACCTGGTTCCGATCCATCTGACTCACCTCGCCCAACAAACGCTCGACAAACGTCTACGACGAAATCTACAAATACACGACTTGTCAACTAAGAAGGACCTCTCCAGTAAATTCGATGAATTGGTAAATGAGTGACCAGGCTGGTAAAATTCACTGACTAGGCTAAGCCGTCGTTCAACATCTACGAGGTGGTTGTATCTCATGCAGTGCAGCGAAACGAGGGCCTGAAGGAACATTAAGGCCTCAGGACACCCTGGCGCAAGCGAAACGCCATGGCCAGTTTGATGCTTTCCTGACAACGAGCCCCTCACGATCTCCACACTTCGAGCGACGATGCTCTCAGATGAGGTACTACTGTCTCCATACATGATGCATCTCAGCCCGACATAGAGCTATGATCAAGATCTGAATCACTGATTAACTTCAATCTATATCCAAAATCGATAGATGGCTTACCACTGCTGGATCTACACCACCAGCAATCCGAACCTTCCAAGAGCTTCTGTCAACTTGACTGAGGTTGGAGATATCGTTTGACTCCTGCAACAGCAGTTCGGCGATGCAGACGTCTTTGGAGAATACCCTAGTCGTAATTGCACTCTGGTCCTTCTGCCGAACCTGCAGCACCACGTCGTCTTCCTTGTCTTTTCCGGTGGGAACGATCATATCGAGATCCGATCGGCGGCCAGAAGAGACGTGTTTCAGCTCCGCTATGCGCTGACCATCTGGACTTTCCACCGTCCAGAGATTCTTCATTCCCGACCCGTGATGTCGTAGGTCAAAGATCGGCACACCCGAAGTGTCTTTCACCTGTCGACGCCATGACCAAGACTTCATTGGCCCAGGTCCTCCTCCAACGAAGAGCTCTTGGCCTTGCTCATCCACAACGGTGACGTTTGAGAACAACCGATCGTGGCATCTGACATAGATGCTGGTCTCTTCATTCGCGATGGGGGCATCGGAGATCTTGAAAGGAAGTGAGCAGAACTCGAGAACTGCCGCCATGTCGACTGCCAACTGAACAATGGATCTCGAAAGGTTTCCGGGATAAGCTGGGTGCAAGTATTCGCAGCCGCAAAAGCTGAACAATGCGACAGGACAGATGGGCAGGCCTCAACAACCCTTCGGTGAAGAAAGAGAAGAATGCAGGTCGGAACTCGCATGCGCCATAAGAACTAACTGCGCAACTCAGCAACTCTTGGCTAAGACAATGTGACTCGCTATACACGATCTGCAATGTCATCCCTTGCACAAGAAACCCCTCGAAGTATCGTGATCGGGTTTAACCGCTGCCTGGACCGCTTGTCCATCAGCACGTGGTCTCGGCATAAGCCGCCAGGGCAGAATCATCCACATACACCTCTTGTAGCCTTCTCCGCAGACAACTTGAGCTCGCGGCATGCGTCTGGTATCAAGGATAGCGCAAGGGTAATGTCTCGGTGATTATAAATTTCATGTTGCTGCAAGCCATGTCACGCTGACCGGCTGCCAACTGCATTTACCCAGACGATTTCCTATTTGTGCTTCAGCGCAGATCTTTTCTGAAGACAGAGAATACCAGTACACCGGTGTCTCGCCCAAATCGGGATTCCGAATCTAATCCTTGTTCTAGTTTCCTCCGTTATGGTGATGGTATTCTCTAGCTATGCCATATCCATACCACCTGCGGGTACCGGAAGCGGAGATGAGTCAGCGGTTTCACCTTAGACTACGGCCTGGTTCATCGATATCATCGATGAGTTGCTTCTCGGGGATGAGCGGATACAATAACTCTGGGTCCTTCGTATGTCAAGTCATTGCCACCGCTTCATTCTGGTATGCGATTCCAGCTCCATTCTGATACGCACAATCTCGATCAAGGGATCGTCAACACGTCTTTTCATCCATCATTTGCATTGGACGATGGAGATGCCACCATCTTCTCGACGAATGGCCATGCAATCCGAAAGCGGACGATTACGCTGCCATTTGCTGCGCCTCTTACCCATCTTGACCACCTTGAGCACACCATTGATGATGTGGAAAGGGCTTTCGGCTCTTACCGCTTCTTCAGTGCCAATGGTATGTGTCATCTCAGAGTCGATGGCACCCGCTTTTCATAGAGGGGATTTGCTCTTCCTGTCCAATCGGAGCAATCACATCCAAGCTGGAGAAATACCAGTCGTATGGTTTGCTGGCAGAGCTTTGCCAATGGTTCATCGGGCGATCAAAGTCTCTGACATTGGTGGAGACGATGATAATTCCTCGCCAAGGTAAGATATCGCCACAGCTTCGGTATGGCGACATCACATCTAACGTAACATAGACAGTTTATAGTCACTAAGGGTGACAATAATGAAGTCGATGACGTTTCCATGTATCCTGATGGGCGAACCTTTGTAACGAGAGACGAGATCGTGGGCCTAGTCGTGGGATACATACCGTACCTTGGATGGGTTTCCATTGCTCTTCAGAAGGTCGTTGAGGCAAAATATCTCATACTGTTGCTCGTAGTTGCTGTCATATTTGCCCGCTAGCTCAACAGCAGCTCACCTCCGGCTTCACTTCTCGGTATCTGTGTTCTCCGCAAGCCCGAATGTCAGCGTATTAGTCCAGTCTTAGCCATAATCTTTTGCACAAGTCTGTGTGTCTCGTATACGCATGTAGATGCCATGGATAGATTTGAAGGCCTGTTTAGTAGTGGGGTGGGGCGCATGAGGCACCTCCAACGTAAGATGATACACGATCATAGATCTTGTAGGGGTTTACTTTTGTGCGTCCTAACCCAAGGAATTTGCCGAAGCGTACTCATGTAAGACAGGTCCTTTACCTGAAAGACTGTCGGTTATACTATTCTGATGAGATGACATACTTCGCGGCAGCACCGATTGGACGTATGAGACGCTTGTCAACCGAGCATCGAGATGCCACTCGAAGGTACCTAGGCATCGACGCTGCGCAACTGATGGGTATCCAAGCAAAACATAGTGCTACGCACACAAAATGCAAGTGCTGCAACCGCCGTGTAGCTTGTTAAGACTT